TTTTATTTTTTGAGATGGAGTCTTGCTCTGTCACCCATGATAGAGCACAGTGGCATGATCTTGGCTCACTGCAACCTCTGTCTCCTGGCTTCAAGTGATTCTCCTGCCTCAGCCTCCTGAGTAGCTGAGATTACAGGCACCCACCACCATGCCTGGCTGATTTTTGTATTTTTAGTAGAGATGTGGTTTTACCATCTTGGCCAGGCTGGTCTTGAACTCCTGACCTCATGATCCACCTGCCTTGGCCTCCCAAAGTGCTGGAATTACAGGCGTGAGCCACCATGCCCGGCCGTTTTTGTCTTTAAAAAAATAAATAAATCCTCTTATTGTAATTTACACAGACTGTTTATGAAATGCGTGGACTTTCTGGTTTGTCCTGAACATGCTTCCTTCTTGAAAAACCAGTCATTTTACTTTAGGACTAAATTTACCATACACGATTCTTTCTCATATGAAATTATTTCTCTTTAAGCTTTCTTACCAAAAAACAAAATAAAATAAAAAACTTCCTTGTTTTTATAACTTCCTTTACATTTCTTTTATTTCCTGGTTCCTTTTACCTTGTTTTATGCAAGACTTCTAAATAATCTTTTTTTTTTTAGAGATACCAGGCTGGAGTGCAGTGGTGCAATCTTGCCTGGCCTGTTCACCTTTTGTTAAAGAACAGGTTTTTTTTTTTTTTTTTTTGAAAGAATGTTTTCTGGCTGGGTAAGGTGGCTCATGCTTGTAATCTCAGCACTTTGGGAGGCTGAGGTGGGCAGATCACCTAAGGTCAGGAATTTGAGACCAGCCTGGCCAACATGGTGAAACCCCATCTCTACTAAAAATACAAAAGTTAGCCAGCTGTGGTGGTATGCACCTGTAGTGTAGTCGCAGCTACTTGGGAGGCTACAGCAGGAGAATCACTTGAACCTTGGAGGCAGAGGTTGCACTGAGTCTAGATCATGCCACTGCATTCCAGCCTGGGAGACAAAGTAAGACTCTATCTCAAAAAACAAAACAAAACAAAACAAAACCAAGAAACTTGCCTTCTACACCCCCTCATTACCTTAACTGCAAACATTTCTGTGGACTTCAACTCTTTAGGCAGAATTTAACCCTTTCAACCAGTTGCCAATCAGAAATCTTTAAATCCACCTATGACTGGCAAGGTGCCCCTTGTGAGATGTCCTGACTTTCTGGGCGGAATCAATGTGCACCTTGCCTGTATTGATTTATGTCTCTGATTGTAACTTCTGTCCCCTTAAAATGTATAAAATCAAGCTGTAACCCAACCACCTTGGGCACATGTTCTCTGGACCTCCTGGGGCTATGTCATGGGTCATGATCCTCACATTGGCTCAGAATAATAAATCTCTTCAAATATTTTAGAGTTCAGCTTCTTTTGTCATCAACACAGGTATCATCAGTGTGAAATATAGCATTTATTTTAGGAGCTAGACTTAGATTGCAGATCTAAAGTAACAATTGGCATGTCCTTGTTTTATAGGAGGATATACATCTTGAAAGGGTTCAAAGCCTGTACAGAACAATTTGTGAGGGCAGCCATCTAAGGATGCCTGAGGCCTTTTTCCTTTCCCTGGGGGTCTGGGGTCTGGCTAATGCATAATGCTTTGACACAAGGCTGTGAAGTAACAGAAATTCATTTGAGGCTGGGTGTGGTGGCTCATGCCTGTAATCCCAGCACTTTGGAAGGCCAAAGCGGGCAGATCATGAGGTCTGGAAATCCAGACCATCCTGGCTGACATGGTGAAACCCCACCTCTACTAAAAAATACAAAAATTAGCTGGATGTGGTGGCACGTGCCTATAATCCCAGCTACTCGGGAGGCTGAGGCAGGAGAATCGCTTGAACCCAGGAGGCAGAGGTTGCAGTGAGCCCAGATTGTGCCACTATCTCCAACCTGGGAGATAGAGTGAGACTCCGTCTCAAAAAAAAAAAAAAAAAAAAAAAGAAATTGCTTATAGCCATTTGGGAAAGGGGGGCAATGTTTTGTGACTCAGTCTCCAGGCTTAACTTTCCCTTTGGCATAAGTTTGGGGGTCCTGAGATGTTTGGGATCCTGAGATGACCCCCAGCTGAGGTCATTGCAGGCTAGCCAACCACCAATGGATCCCAAGGCCATCACAGCTGGCTAGCTGACCTGCAGCTGACCACACACACAAGGGAGCACAGCTGCAATCACCCACGCTTTTTCTTTCCCTATGTGTCCTACTGCCTGTGGTTGCTTTCATGCTTCAGTGTCATGGCTGAGTGTTTGTACCCTCAAAACCTCAAATATTTACTATCTGGTCCTTCTCAAAAAAAAAAAAAAAAAAAAGCTTGCAGATCCTGTCAAAGCATCTTTGAAGAACAAGTTTCACAGAGCAACTTTCTGGTGTGAAACTGGGTGAATTAATGGCCCCCATTCTTATTCTCCCTGTATCCAGTCCTGTGGCCTTGAAACTTTGTAGTACTTTTGAGATACAGACAGGGCTTGGCTTTAGCTTACCCCCACTACAGCATCCTTTCACTACAGCATCCCCACTGACCGCAAAACCCATGCCTCTACCTTGCTGATGTACCCACTAAGGCCAGGACTTTGGTCATACAAAGGAAATGGCCATTTTGTATTCTTCCTGTGCTCTCACAATGTTTAACCAGGACTTTTACTTAAAGAATTCTGGGTGCTGGGCACAGCAGCTCACGCCTGTAATCCCAGCACTCTGGGAGGCCAAGGCAGGCGGATCACGAGGTCAGGAGACGAAGACCATCCTGGCAAACATGGTGAAACCCGGTATCTACTAAAAATACAAAAATTAGCTGGGTGTGGTGGTGAGCACCTGTAGTCCCAGCTATTCGTGAGGCTAAGACAGGAGAATCGCTTGAACCTGAAAGGCAGAGGTTGCAGTGAGCCGAGATCGCGCCACTGCACTCTAGCCTGGGCAACAAAGAGCAAGATTCTGTTTCAAGGCCGGGCGCGGTGGCTCAAGCCTGTAATCCCAGCACTTTGGGAGGCCGAGGCGGGTGGATCACGAGGTCAAGAGATCGAGACCATCCTGGTCAACATGGTGACACCCCATCTCTACTAAAAATACAAAAAATTAGCTGGGCATGGTGGTGCGTGCCTGTAATCCCAGCTACTCAGGAGGCTGAGGCAGGAGAATTGCCTGAACCCA